AGACTATCAAAGCAGATGCTGAGCCTGATGACCAACTGTCGGGCAGAGTGAATGTAATTTTATGTATGAAGTGGGAAATAGCAAGAGCTGGAGAGGACAGGAACTCCACAAGGAGAACAACAGAACAAGAAAATTTGAACACAGGGAACTTCCCAGAGACTCATACTCCAACCAAGGACTATTCATGGAGATAACCTAGAACCCCTGCACAGATGTAGCCCATGGCAGTTCAGTGTCCAAGTGGGTTACATAGTAATGGGAAGAGGGACTGCCTCTGACATAATCTGATTGGCCTGCTCTTTGATCACCTCCCCCTGAGGGGGAACAGCCTTACCAGGCCACAGAAGAAGACAATGCAGCCATTCCTGATGTGATCTGATAGACTAAGATCAGAAGGAATTAGAGGAGGACCTCCCCTATCAGTGGACTTGGGGAGGGGCATGCATGCAGAAAGGGGAGGAAGGGTTCGATCGGGAGGGGAGGGGGGGCTTAGGGGGGATGCAAAATGAATAAAGTTTAATAATAATAATAACAAAAAATGTGAAAAAATTAATTAATTTTTAAATTAATTACAGTTTATTTACTTTCCAGCTGTATCCTAGCTTTAGCCCCCTTGCTCATCCCATTCCAATTGCACTCTCCCTCCCTCTTAATCTCTAATGACCCTCCCCCAGTCCACTAATAGGAGAGTTCCTTCTCCTCTTCCATCTGACCCTAACCTATCAGGTCTCATCAGAACTGGCTGTATTGTCTTCTTCTGTGACTGGTAAGGCTGCTCCCCCTTTAGGGGGAGGTGATCAAAGAGCCAGTCACTGTATTCATATCAGAGACAATCCATGATCCCCTTACTCCCACGGAACCTACTTAGACACATCTGTCTGCCATAATCTACATCTGTGCAGCAGTTCTAGGTTATCTCCATCCATGGTCCTTGGTCAGAGTATCAGTCTCAGAAAAGATCCCTGGGCCAAGATTTTTTGGTTCTGTTGCTCTCCTTGTGGAGCTACTTTTCCCTCCAGGTCTTTCTATTGTTTTCTTCTTTCAACATCTTTCCAAAGGACTAGCTCTTAGATTACTTGATTCTTTATATTATTTTCTCTGGTTCTATTTCACTGATTCCTGCCATGATTTTTATTATTTTATGAAATTGGCTGAGCCTAGATTTAGTTTGTTCTTCTTTAAATTTTTTTTGAGTTGCATCAGGAAGTCATTTATTTGTGCTTTCTTGTTTTTAATGTAGGTAGGTAGTTCTATAAATTTTTCTCTTATGACTGCTTTCATTGCGTCCTAGAGGTTTTGTTGTGATGTGTTCTCATTTTTATTTAGTTCCAAGAATTTTCTTAATTTTTCCTTGATTTCTTCTTTGACCCATTCTTCATTAAATGAGTTGTTTAATCTCCCTGTGTTTGTGTTTACTAGAGGGTTTCTTCCTCAGTGTAAGTTTTATAGCATTGTAATCAGAAAAGACACAAGGAAATATTTCAATTTGTAAATATTTGTTTTGTGTCACAGAATGTATTCCATTTTAGAAACGATTCTATGTGCATCTGAGTAGAATGTGTATTCTTTGTTGTTTTGGGGGAATATCCTCTATACATCTTTCAAGTTCATTTAATGCTTGATTTATTCTGCTTGTAAGGATTTCCTTTGGGTTTATAGTTGAGTTATTGGATTTTTCAATTGCATCTTCATTTCTGCATGTGTCCTTGTCGAATGTTTCTATCTCTTTTTTTTTATACTTTTTTTTATTAATTACACATTATTCATTTTGTATCCCCCCATAAGCCCCTCCCTCCTCCCCTACCGATCCCACCCTCCCTCCCCTTTCTGCATGCATGCCACTCCCCAAGTCCACTGATAGGGGAGGTTCTCCTCTTGTTTCTGATCTTAGTCTATCCGTTCTCATCAAAAGTGGCTGCATTGTCCTCTACTGTGGCCTGGTAAGGCTGCTCCCCCTCAGGGGGAAGTGATCAACGAGCAGGCCAATCAGATTATGTCAGAGGCAGTCCCTCTTCCCATTACTATGTAACCCACTTGGACACTGAACTGCCATGTGCTACACCTGTGCAGGGGTTCCAGGTCATCTCCACGAATAGTCCTTGGTTGGAGTATGAGTCTCTGGGAAGTTCCCTGTGTTCAAATTATCTTGTTCTGTTGCTCTGCTTGTGGAGTTCCCGTTCCCTCCAGCTCTTACTATTTCCCACTTCTTACATAAAATTCCATTCACTCTGCCCATCAGTTGGCCATCAGGCTCAGCATCTGCTGAGCAGCTATACTGCAGAAGCTTTCAGAGGCCCTCTGTGGCAGGTTTCAAGGTTGTTTCCTGTTTTCTTCTGGCTTTCAGAGGCCCTCTGTAGCGGGTTCCGAGGTTGTTTCCTATTTTCGTTTTCTTCTGATGTCCATCCTCTTTGCCTTTCAGGATGGGGATTGAACATTTTAGTTAGGGTCCTCTCTTTTGCTTAGTTTGTTTAGATGTACAGATTTTAGTGGGTTTATTCTATATTGTATGTTTATATGAGTGAGTATATACCGTGAGTGTCTTTTTGCTTCTGGGTCAACTCACTCAGGATGATCCTTTCCAGGTCCCACCATTTACCTGCAAATTTCATGATTTCCTTATTTTTCATTGCTGAGTAATACTCCATTGTATAGATGTACCACAGTTTCTGCATCCATTCTTCAGTTGAGGGGCATCTGGGTTGTTTCCAGCTTCTGGCTATTACAAATAAAGCTGCTACAAACATGGTTGAACAAATGTCCTTTTTGTGTACTTGCGCCTCTTTTGGGTATATGCCTAGGAGTGGTATGGCTGGATCTTGAGGAAGCGCTATTCCTAGTTGTCTGAGAAAGCGCCAGATTGATTTCCAGAGTGGTTGTACCAGTTTACATTCCCACCAGCAGTGGAGAAGGGTTCCCCTTTCTCCACAACCTCTCCAGCATGTGTTGTCCCTTGAGATTTTCATCTTGGCCATTCTGATGGGTGTAAGGTGAAATCTCAGGGTTGTTTTAATTTGCATTTCCCTAATGGCTAATGAGGTTGAGCATTTCTGTAAGTGCTTCTCTGCCATTCCATATTCCTCTGCAGAGAATTCTCTCTTTAGCTCTGTTCCCCATTTTTTAAGTGGATTACTTGGTTTGTTGCTTTTCAGCTTGTTTAGTTCTTTATATATATTGGATATGAGTCCTCTGTCAGATAGAGGGTTGGTGATGATTCTTTCCCAATCTGTAGGCAGTCGCTTTGTTTTGATGACGGTGTCCTTTGCTTTACAGAAGCTTTTCAATTTCATGAGGTCCCATTTATTGATTGTTGCTCTTAGAGCCTGTGCTGTTGGTGTTCTGTTCAGGAAGTTTTCTCCTGTACCAATGAGTTCTAGGGTATTCCCCACTTTTTTTTCTAGCCGATTTAATGTGTCTGGTTTTATGTTGAGGTCTTTGATCCACTTGGACTTCAGTTTTGTGCAGGGTGATAAGTATGGATCTATTTTCATTTTTCTACATGTAGACATCCATCTCTTCACTGAATCCCTTGCTCAAGTCCTGGATTGTCTCTGTCATTTTCATCAACCTTGTATTTGTATTTCCTTGGGCATTACTCAGGCATTTCTTCTTCTTCTTAAGATTTTTTCTTAAATTTACTAAATTTATTTATTGTGTGTATGTCATTTTTAAACTCTCTGAATACTTTGGTAAAGTTTATTATCATTTTTTTAAAATTCTATGTTCTGGTGTTCATCTTGGTGATTCTCTCAGGCAAACACTTCTATAGACTGATATGTTTCAGAAAGAATATACTGTCTTGATCATTCATGTTGTTGATATGTTTGCAATGAGATCTGGGCACGTGGACTTCTTTTGTTAGTTCTGTGTCTGACATGAACAGAGCAGGGAGAGGCAGAAGAGGGGTTGTATTGAGCTTAGAGTTTGAAGGCGAGGGTGGGAGAGAATGTTTTGGCTATGTGTAAATATATATCTAGTCTTCCTAATTCAGAAAAAACATCATTGTAATGACTAATAGTTCTATAGTGCTATTTTCATTTATGGCAATGGTGTTCACTAAGGAACCATTTTTCCTAATGTTTGAAAATAAAGTACTGGCCTTAGTGAAAAACAAACAAACAAACAAACTAAGAAATAGCTTTGGTGGAATGAAGTCAAGTAGACAGAAGGGAATGAGCCTAGAGTGTGGGTAGATCTGGCTGAGTGGGGAAGTTAGCAGCATCATGAGAGAGATCCGTAGTTGCTAACTATCAAAGCTGGGCCTTCTGCAGCAAAAGCAACAAGTATTCTTAGCCACAGAGCAATCTCTACACACAACTGAATCATATTGCTTAAAGCTCAAAGTCCATGCAAAGTTGATGGAAGCTTGTGTTCGGAGCTTAGCCAAGTGAGAAAACAGCAGAAGCAATTCCAGGCTCAGATTCTGGGCAACTTATAAGTTTATCTGTACTCTGTTCTGGCCTTCATCAGGGATTCCTCTGACTTGGGTGCAGGTTTGTTTTCTTATTTAGTTATTTTGTGCTCTTTATGTATTCTAGATCCTTGGTCACATGTACAACTGTTAAAGATTTTTCATCATTCTGCACGCTGTGTCTTCACTAATTGGTGTGTACACATTTATTTATTTTTTTTAGTTTAATTAGGTCCCAGTTTTAAACTGCTTTGATGATACCTGTGGTTACTGGGTTGCAACTATTCAGAAATGTATTTCCTTTCCCTATAATTTGAACCACATTTTCTGCTTTCTCTACCAAGATTTGTGCCGGGTGAAACACAAACATCTAGTTTCATTTTCTACATATTTCTATCCAGTTTGCCCAGATCCACTTGTTGAAGATTCTGTCGTTCTGGATTTCAGCTTTTCCCTTTGCCTCATTTATGAGATTATGCAATCATGCCTCTCTATAAATCTAGCAGCTCTCTGTCTTCAGGATAGTTTTTTCTCCTCAGGCTCCTTGGAGTTTCTAGTTCTCTCTGTTCCCTGTCCGCAGCCTACAAACATCATGAAGACTTTCTGGACTCTGCTGCTGAAATTCGGCCTCCTCTCCCTGATGGTCATAGGTAAATGTTACCACCTGCTAGAGCAACTGCCCCAGGTATGGGAAACACAGACTAGAGAGAACTGGAGAATGATGCTCTGAAGGAGAAAGATGCGATGCTCTGTAGGCTTGGGAGAGAAGTAGGAGAGTGACCCTGGATATAATGGCCTGCACTGATGTCCTTCAAGTCTATAATTTAGACCTTGGACACTACAGGTCTGCACATAGATGGATGCAGGGCTAGTCACAGGCAGTTCCCAGCAGCTCATCATCCATCTGTGTCATGAGCATGAAGGGAATATCCTGTGGGGAGGAATTCTGCCTCATCTGCCTTAATGCTCTTTGTAAATGAAAAGCCTCCCTTGTCCAGGGAGAGGCACTCATCATGTGCCTACTGAAATGTCACCACTCCTCCTGACCAGGCCTTGTCAGCCCATCTTGGGACAAAGCAAGCTATCTGGCAGGCAGAGACTTTATTGTGACAAGCAAACACATTTTCTGATGAGGAGGTCTCCCCCATGTATAGGGAGTCTGGTGTCTGTCACATCAAAGGATGCCACGTCCATGTGCCAAAGTTGTCTCCTTGAGGGGAGAAGCAGAGCTTTTATAATAGAACAATATTACACTGGAGCCAGGCAGTGGTGGCACACATCTTTAATCCCAGCTCTCAAGAAGCAAAGACAGAGGCAGGCATATCTCTGAGTTTGAGGCCAGCCTAGTCTACAGAGTGAGGTGCAGAACAGCCAGGGCTACACAGGGAAACTTTTTGTCTTAAAAAAAATTCAAAAGCCAACCAACCAAACAAACAAACAAACAAACAAGTTTCCATTTCTGAGCTTCCACACTTTGTATCTTTGCATATGCCTTGTTAATGCATATGCAAAACAGGGGATCCCTAGGAAGAACCAGGGCTGTCAAAGTCTATGAAAAAAAACTTACCTTGTTCACAGGTATCACTTTACCTTACAGATTGGCCTTATACTTATGCCTGACATTTTCTTTCTGAAGCCAGGATCAAAGATTATTCTCAGGGAGGTTTTTCAGGGTGCTTGTTTTGGTTCATTAGAGAGGAGATCTGCTTACTGAATAGAAATGTTTAGAAAGTAGCAAATGTGCTGAGTGTGTGCTCAACAGTATAGCTAACGCTGTTTAATTTATCTGGATTTGCAGTTGTGTGTGTAGTTGTGTGTGTGTATTAGTTTCACTGAGAAAAGAGTTGTCATTTCTTTCATATGTTACAAAGTCAAGATAATTTAAAAGCATCTTTTTTCTCAAAGAGTATACCTCACTCAAGGATAGAAAACAGAACATTCTGGGTAGAATAGCCACATACTCTTATCCATCCTAAGATGGCATCCAAGTACATGGGTATCAAGATTGCTACATTAGTCAGATGAATCGGGCTCTAGTTTTCTCTTCTGTTTGTTCTCATTGCATTTTGGTATCAAGATAATGTTGCTTTATATAAGGAACTTGGTAGTGTTCCTTGCCCTTATCTCGTATGTAAAATTTGAGGAACACTCTTTGTGTATTATTTTAATTCTTCTTTAAACATCTGGTGGAACTATGCTGTGAATCCATAATGCCTTGGTGCTTTTTTTCCTGATGGAAACTCTTTAACCTCATTTCAATTTGATGCCTGTTGTAGATTGATCTCTTTGAGTTCTTTACGGTCTCTGAATTTAATTTTGGTAGATAAAATATATCTGAATTTATACTTGTTTTTGCAGGTTTTCATTAACCGTTTTGGAACAAAACTTAACAAGTATTCATTAATCTATTGTAATATCATCTTTTCCATCTCTAATTTTATTTTATGAAAATGAAATTCATTCATTTGGGTTTTTATTGTTACCTGAAAATATGTAAACATTGATTGTCATTAAAAAAAACAAACTTATGTTTTATTGCTTTTTCTATATTTCTCATTACTCTTTCATTCATTAAATCTTAAACCTGTTTAAAGAGCTAATAATTTATTTCCATCTGTTGATTCTTGTTTGGATCATTCTCCTTTTTCTAAGATGTTGAGGTACATGATCTGATTGTTTATTTTAGGTTTATCTGCTTTTTAAATGTGAGCACTCATATATAATTTCCTTTAGAGTTGTCTTAGCTCTATTCCAAAGATTTTAGTATGTTTTTTACATGTTCATTTGCTTTAAGAATTGCTAAATTTCAACTTTCATTTGTTTAACTATTATGAAAAAAGATGTGTTATTTATTTATTTATTTATTTGTTTGTTTGTTTGTTTTTGGTTTCTGGTTTATGAAGACAGGATTTCTCTATATAGCTTTGGTTGCCCTGCACTTACTCTGTAAACCAGGCTGGCCCTGAATTCATGGAGATCTGCTTGCCTCTGCTTTCCTGAGTGCTATGATTACAAGTGCATGCCACTGAGCCCAGCTGAAGAATGCATTTCAGTGTATTAATGTGGGTTTTATTGATTTTCTTTCTATACATTTCTGCTCTTGCTTCCTTCTAAAGTAAAAATATTTAGGTTCTTACTTATTTTCATAGGCTTGCTTTTTTTAATAGTTTTATTCAGTACTGAACCCCTGCCCCTCTCCAGACTTGGAGCCTGGTGCTTTACCAACTGAGCCACTTAGGGCTCCCTCATAGACTTGCTTTTATTGTACAAAATATGAAAGCTTTTTGAGAAAACTAGATGGGATGCATGAGTATACTGTAATACCAGAAGTAATATTCAGTAGATGTCTGCTGAGAATGTCTATGTCACTTCAACTCTGAAGGTTTTTGTTGACTTCACCCAGACAGAAGTGGTATCCTGAAGTTACCTACTGTTATTTTATCTATAACTACATGTGCTTTTATGTCCATTAATGTTGTTTTATGAAATCAGGATATCTGTTAATCAATAAATGTATAATTAAACTATTATTTATTCTTGATATATTAATCTCCTTATTAATATACAATGGTCTTCTTGATCTCTGACTAATTTTAAATTGAAGTCAGCTTTGTCTGATATTAGAATGGTTGACCCAAAATCCATTTGCTTAATACCTTCCCCAACATCTGTACTTTTTTCTTCACTGTGTCTGTTTGCTAGTGGGGTGTGTTTCTTATGGCCTTAGATCATTCTAATGGTGAACATAAATACGCAATATTGAAGGAACTGGAAGAATTCATTGGAAGAACATAAAGAAAATAATCGAGGGGACTGATAGATGTTCTGAAGTTAGGACATTCAGATGAACAAAATGTTCATAGAAAAATGCTCACCCTCTATTATTATTAGTTAACTATACATTGAGACATCAATGAGGCATCCCTTCATGCCTATGAAAATGCCTTTTTTCTTTTTATTATTATTATTAATTACACTTTATTCATTTTGTATCCCCCATAAGCCCCTCCCTCCTCCCCTCCCGATCCTACCCTCCCTCCCCTTTCTTCATGCATGCCCCTCCCCAAGTCCACTGATAGGGGAGGTCCTCCTCTCCTTCCTTCTGATCTTAGTCTATCAGATCACATCAGGAATGGCTGCATTGTCTTCTTCTGTGGCCTGGTAAGGCTGCTTCCCCCTCAGGGGGAGGTGATCAAAGAGCAGGAGAATGCCTTTTTAACAAAGTAAAATGGAACACTGTTGCTGAGATATGAAAAATGAATTACGTCATGAACTATGTAGAGAACAAACTAGTGTGAGTCTTATAGAAAACAGTTCGTTGGAGTTTTCTATATAATTTCCAATGCAATCCAAATACATGGTTAGCAATCCTAGTACTTTGCATGTAAGAGAAACCAAATTTATATGCCAAAGATACATCAGCATTATGATACTCATAATTTATACTACTGAGAAACTCCTATGATGAGAGGTAGAGCTGGAACATGCATGGAAGGTAGATTTGACATCATATTAATGCGATTACCACATAGGGCCATTATGGACAGCATACGCAGGAACCACAGTGACAGAGATAATGACTAAGGGCTGGAAATCAGTCAGAGATTAGCAGCCAAATGGCTTTACCTAAGGTGATTCACTAAGCAGACGATAAGATGGGATGGAATTATCAGAACATCTGTTCATCCTCTTCTATCTCTATGGAAACACAGTCCAAGCAAGCTTCTGTGTGATCCATGTATTCTATATATTCCCTGTGCCACCTAGTAACCACGAGCCCCATTTGGAAAATGTGAACTGACATTATTGCTGGTGAAACTTCAATTAATCCAAACTCAAATAGCTCTATCCAGCTAATGACTCCAATACTGGGAAGACTAAGAGCAAAGAGGAGAAGAACAGTGAGAAACTTCTTTTATTCTTGGATGATAGGACACAACTATGGTGATATGTATCTTTTCCTAGGGCTCAAGTTTGGAATTCAACAACAAGATCGACTACACACAGGAAGGATAGTCTTAGAAATAAGGACATAACATCAAGGTATATTTTAGTGTGAATTATTAAAATCATATTAGTTGCTTAGACTAGACTCATTGGAAAAAGCTTCAACATGAGACACTGTGTAGAAGTGACCATGAGAGCAACTTTAATCCCTATGGAAACATCTTCCCACACACGGTCACACAGTGTTGTGATGTAGTGTCTCCCAGGTGGACATGGCTTGTTGTTTTCATCTGCTCAGGTTCCTATCACAAAAAGTCACAGACAAAGGGTCTTCAACAGCAGAGAGGCATTTTTTAATATTACTATAAAGTGGAAAGTTTGGGGATTGGGGCTCCAAGGTTAGCTGGTCATGTGGTCCCTCTCTTTGGTTTGGGGATGATACTCTCCCAGCATCCAAACTCAGCTTTCTTTCTTTGCAGCTGTAGTTCCATGCTTTCATTAAGGGTAAAGCCTATCTTATATTTCTTACCAGGATGGCCTTATTTAACTGCAATGAGCTGTTTCAAAATGCTAGACCAATTATTACTGAGACATGCTGAGGCACTGGGTTTCAGCACAAGATGTTTCAGGCACGTAAGCTATAATACTAGTGTATTATTTACTTACCTAATGATGAGACAACTGAAGAAGAGTTTATTTGAGCTTATGACACTGGAAAGATAAGAGTCTGTCCTGGAGGGGAGCAGGGTGTTTCACAGTAAGCAGCAGAGGTGGTGGACACAGCAGGATTTTAAGAGGTCATGTTGTTCACCATATACATGAAGAACTCAGAGTATGGTGAACTCTCAACATCTCAAAGCCAGCCGCCAGTGACATGCTTCTTCTAGCAAGTCAGGATAAAACTCCTCAAACAGAGCTACCATAGAGACCGAGTGTTGAAACGCAGGAGACCTGGCGGGGTCGAGGTGGGGGAATGACACATCTCCCACTGAATAACCATGAGTCATAAAGCAAGGGCTTGGTGGTCACTCACCAAGAACATGGAGATCTATTAGGGCACCTATTTGTTGTGAGACTTCATGGCACCAAGCACAAGCAACAATAAATTCCAACTGTAGAAAACTATGATATCATCATAGAGTAAACACATATCAGCCCCACAGGAGAAGATGCCAAGTTCCAGAAGCAGGGTTAGAGACATTGGAGAGCTGGTACTGAAGTGGAAAGGACCAGAGAGTCAGGAGACTGGTGAACAAGGGCTCATAGCCACAGATCCTATGGCAGCGTTTTCTTGTGTTTTTTTTTTTTCCTTTTCTCATTAATGCATTTATTTATTCATTTTACACTCTATCACAATCCCCTCCTCTCCTCCCAGTCCCACCCTCTTCTTCCTTCCCTCTCCACTTTTCGGAGGAAAAGAGGAGCCCCTCTCAACTCACCGCAGCACATCAAGTTGCATCAGAATTAAGCACATCCTAAGGCCAGACAAGGCATCCCCCCAGGGGCAAGTGATCCTAAAGTAGGCAACAGAGTCCATGTCAAATATGACCCCTGCTCCATTTGTTAGGCAGCTCACATGAAAACGAGGCTGCCCATCACCTACATATGTGTAGGAGGCATAGGTCCAGTCTATGCATGCTCTTTGGTTGGTGCTTTAGTCTCTGTGAGTCCCCATGGGCCTCAGTTATTTGCCTCTGTTGGTCTTCTAGTGGAGTTCTTGTTCTATTTGTGTCCTGCTGTCCTTCCCTTAACTCTTCCACAAGACTCCCCAAATTCAGCCTAATGTTTGGCTGTGGGTCTTTGCACTGTTTCATTCACTGGGTGGAGCCTCTCAGAGGACAGTTATGCTAGGCTCCTGTTGGCATCATAGAAAAGTATCATTAACGGTGTCAGGGGCTGGCTCTCTCCTGAAGAAAATCACTTTTGTCTTGTGGTAGACTGAGTTTAAAATTGACCAGGGGGCATCATTTGAGCTCTCTGCACATCTCAAGGGCTCTCAGTGAAAGAATAGCATGTTAAGAGCTTTGCTGTTCTGTCTGGCCACTGAGCTATTCACAGGTCTGCTTTTCTTAGTTCCCATCTAGATTAGTTAATTGGCTTAGAAGGGAAAATTCTCCCATGAGCTTTCAGGTCAGTGTCTCTCATCTTCAACAAAAGTACTCATTACAGCTACAGGAAACGTGTGACAATATATGTGTTCTCTCCTTTCAGGTGCTGGCCGTCAACCTAATACACCCCATGTCAGATTCAAATGTATACCGAAATTAGGAATCATTTTCAGTGATAACTGTCCTTTCTATGGCAACATGGATGGCAACTGTAATAACAGGAACTCTGTATGCTGCATGGTACCTGTGAGACTGACTAATATATAAAGCACTGAAGCCAATGAAGAACATTTTACCATTATTTCAATAAAGCAAAGCTCCCTTTGAAAATGCTTTTTTTCAGAATCAAGTGAGTCTTGTGTCTCTACTTAAAATAAGTTAGTAAAAATGTGGGGGTGGAATCTGAATCTTGGACCTAAGTAAGAGCCAGTGTACTCACCCTTCTCAGACCAGGGGAAGATGACCAGGCATTAAATAAGGTCATTTCCAATTCAGGTTATCTGTAAACCAACATGGGGCAACTATGGGGTGGCATTGACTCAGGGTGGGGGTCACCTCACTGGATGGAGACTCAGAAAACGTGTACTTTGAGTCCAAGGGACAAACTATCACTAAAATACATTCTCTTCAATTATGATTTTTTAATCAACTCTTTCATCTGAAGCACATAATAGAAAGCAGTCTGCTTTGTTCAGTGTCTACAGACATATAGAGTATATTTTATATATATATATATATATATATATATATATATATATACACACACACATATATATACATACATATATATTTACACACATATATATGTACATATATATGCTTTACTTGCAGTTTGTTTTGATGTTCAGGTAGTCTACAAAGTAAACCAGAAATGTATATACAGTGGGGAAGAAAGTCCCACACCCATACACACTCATCGCATAAAGACTGTACAGAGTTCCCCAGTAGGGTGCCTGGAATATGCAAACTTTAGAGACCAAAGCTGCCCCCTCCCTCAAGCATGTACAGTTCAGTAGACAATACTCTGCTTTTTTTATAAATCTTTATTTTTTATATTAATTACAGTTTATTTACTCTGTATCCCAGCTGCAGCCCTTCCTTCATTCCCTCCCAATCCCACCCTCCCTCTCTCATTTCCTCCCTGCCCCTCTCTAAATCCACTGATAGGGGACATCCTCCTCTCCTTCCATCTGACCCTAGCTTATAAGGTCTCATCAGGACTGGCTGCAATATCCTCCTCTATATTCTAGCTAGGCTGCTCCTCCACGGAGGGTCGGGAAGTCAAAGAGCCAGGCATTAAGTTCATGTCAGAGGCAGTCCCTGTTCCCCTTACTAGGGTACCAACTTGGACACTGCGCTGCCATGGGCTGTGTCAGAGCAGGAGTTCTAGGTTATATCCATGCATGGTCCTTGGTTGGAGAATCACTCTCAGAAAAGCCCCCTGTGTGGAGATATATTTGGTTCTCTTCTTGTTTGGACAAAACAAGGACAGCTCTCAAGTGACTAGGGCTTCCCAGGTATCAGTATAAAAGAAAACAATCCCCAGAATTTATCCAAAGGAGCCCATCTAAGCTAAAGACCACATCAGGCCTCACTTTTCAAAGGAGCCTCCAATGTTCTGTTCCTTTCCTTGCTGCCTTATATCCTCAGTGGTGTCTTGTACACCTACAACGGGATCTGCCTCTGCTTCAGGATCTTCTGGAACTAACAAACCTTGCTTTCCTCATATCAGACAACATTCCAGCAGAGATGTGTGGGTAGGCATGTACTCCCACTATCAGCAGGGGAGATGTTGGGATTTGATCACGCCTGGTAAAGGCAGAGTCAGTTTTCTGTTATAGTGGGACCAGTACCATATAAAGCACACTCCAGAGAATGGCCCACCCTGAAGAACAGTTGACAGACATGGGCTGGTTTAACAGAGAGATGAGGACTGAGTGTTTGGGAAGGTTGTTGTAGATCTGCTGAGAGCTGGTGAAGGAGATGGATATGTTCAGAATGCATTGTGTGAAATTATCAAAGAAACAATATTATTGAAAATTATTACTGCATTTGTTTGTTTGCTTGTTTAACATTTCAACCACAGTTTCCTCTCCCTCTTTCCTTCCCCAACTACCCTCTTTCTCCCAGGCTCATCGATGCCTCGTCTATTTTTCCTCAGAAAATGGCAGTTCTCCACGGATATCAACTGGCCAAGGTATAATAAGTTTAAAATGAAATCTATTAACACACAAAAATATTAAGCTGGCTTCCCATATATCTATGTGTTCCACATTAGCACATCTATCTGACCATTACACAAACACACAAGCAGTTTTATCTAAAACATCCTCTCTCTGAAACATCCAGAATCATGCTTGAGCCGAGACCTGACATTATCACGCAGCCAAGTTAATAAACAATCTTAAATATCAAACCATCTTGACTGCCGCCTTGCCAGCTACACATTCTCCTGTGCGGCCTGAACACTCAGCTCATTAAAAAAAACAACTTGTCATCTATGAGTGCCCCAACTAACCCCCTTAATGGCTCCAGGTGGTTTTGTGTAGTAAAGAAAAGCTTATCAGGGAAACATCTCCCAGTGAAACCACTTGCAAGGACACTCTGCTTCTAAAAAACAGAGCTAACATCTTCATTATTAATCTTGAATGCACAAGCAAACACTACAGCAAGTCAGTATAAAAGTGAACCTGAAAAACACAGCCACAGGAAGCTGGCACACACTGCCCCTGAGAACTTGCATTCTAAGACAGTAATAAAATGTTCTAGGGTAAGATAAGAGACTAGAAAGAAGATTTTTGATATCTCAGAATTGCTGGCAAATGAGAAAAATTAAATGAATATTAAAGAATATTTTGAGTAAATGGGTGAAAGTATAAAAAGAGGGGAGGAAAAAGATAAAATATATTCTGCACATACTCAAGAAATTCTCTGGTAAAATGACATTGAGAAAATTCAAAGAATGAGTAGTACCATATCAAAGAATTTTGTTGGAAATCTTTTTATATATAAAGAAATAAATATTTTCTAAACTGAAATAGAATTAAACACCACAGGCAAAGACCAGCAGACAGCCACATCTTAACAAAGTAACGAACAGGGCTAGAGTCTAGCTGGTCGAGCACTGGCCCAGCATCTGTGAAGCCCTGGCTTTGGTCCCCAGCTCCACAGTGATGCACCATCACGATACACGCCATCAAGAGGAACTGAAGCAGAGGATGGCAAGCTGAGGGTCACCCCAACTACGCAGGAAGTTTAGGGTCTTCCTGAATGACATAAACCCTTGTAAAAAAAAAAAAAAAGCATAAACTAACAAACACAGACTAAAATAAAAGATCCTATACTTTCTGAGTAAAACAAAATGGAGTCTAATTGGATGTAAGGCTGCCCGCCAGGAGGAAAAACATGCCCAGTCCTATAAACCTAGTCAGCTACCCATGACTGGGGAATCCATAGACCCCAGAAGAGAACTACTACCACCACATTCTAACACCAGCGTAATTAGCAGTTATGCATGTTACCTAGTAACTAACTCCTCTGTATTGACAAGTGACAGTGTCCATTTCAGCTGGTGCAGGGCTGTTTCATGAAGTCATATGGATAAGGACAGCCACAAGGCAGACATGCAAAGACTCACATTTTGGGGGCTCCAGTGTATTGAGGAAGCTTAAGCTGTGCAGAATTCAGAGTAAGATCTTCCCTGCAAGTGGAAGTCTATGGTGAATTCGCATCTCATTGTTTTATTTTCAGAGAATATGCAAAGTATTAAAATTATAGTATTAAAATAATAGTAATATTTTACTATTAAAATAATTAATAAAGGATTAAAATAATAGTAATATTTAATTCTAATAATCTGAAGGCTTGGGAGGATAACTGACACCCCAACCCTCTCTCCTCAGCTGGCTGCAGGTGATGTAATTAATGAACAATAACACCTAAAGAGCTGTGACTGGGTGGGAGATCTGGGAAGGACTGAAACTCTTCACAGAAAGGGCGGGTCTCACTGAGTGCACAAGTGTCCTGCCCCAGGCAAGTGTCAGAGGAAAATTGCAAGTTCTTCCCTGGTAAAGTTTGGTCAGGTACTTTGCCCTAACAAAGCCTGACAAGTGAATAAATGGAAGCTGTAACAAAACCTCCAAAAAGGTATTTATTTTCCAACATAGCAAACGACAAGACCATTGTAATAAAGAAATCTCTCTCCCAGTCAATTCTCTCATTGACCTGATCACCCTCCATTCCTATCCCACATTCTTTACCACACCAGGGTTTGTGGTTCTTGATGTTTTGGAGTATGTAGCATCGTTTTGATCCTGCCTGTTTTTACCTCACATGTCCCCTGTGGCTTTATTCCTTCATCCTCACCTCAGAACCTCAGAGCAGCGCTGGTCCAGAACAAGTGGACTCTGACAAATGTTTCCTTCCAGCTGCTCTTTCTGCAGAAATGACCAGTAACTAAGAAAGTGGGACACAGAGCTGTGCACCAGGTGAAGATGTCCCTGTCTGTTGGAAAATGTAGCCAATTGCTGCACTGTGTGAAGAGTGACCTCAGCCTACACTGCCAAGTAGACAATATGGCTCCAAGCAATTCTGGGAACTGCCCTGACCACAACACAGTCCCTCCTGAGCTACATGGGGAACATGATCACTGGAGGGTGTTCTTCTCTGCACAAGTACATATGGTAACGCTAAGTTTGACTCACTATTGTTTCCAGCCAGAAGCCAGAAGAGGAGAAAGGGAGAGTGCATAGCTCTCCTGGAAGGGATGAGATCTTGGCTAAGGGTTTTCCTTTGATCAAAACCTCCTAAAGCTTTCTCATTGTCTAAGGAAGGACCTTAGACAATGTTCCTTAGAGCATTTGGGTACCTGAAAGCACACAGGCACACAGAGTTCCTTCTTTCTATCTGCCTCCCCTCTCTCCTCTTGCATGCTATTGGCTTGGTCTAAGCTGCACATCAAACACATATTCCATGTATTTCTGGGAGCTTCTCAACCTTCAGCAGTTTCAGATACATGACTCTACTCTTCCCCAGTCAGGACTCCCTGCCTTGGGAATGGTGTCACCCACAGTGGGCTGTATTGTCATCATATATCAATAATAAGACAGTCACATAGCCACAGACAAACCCACAGTAAACAGTCCAGTCTTAAGACTCTTTACAGAAAAAACTACATTGTGTCAAGTCGAAAATTAAAGCTAATCAACCCACCACTCGAGTCATTAGGTACAGTCATCGGTGGAGGGCTGTCTTCTCTGGGCTCTATT